TCCCCCCCCCCTCTCTCTCTGTTTGATTTGTAGCAATGTGTGTTCAGTAAATTCACCGGAGTTGATACGAATGAATTTCTATATCGGTCTGTCTTGCTTTTTTTGTGGAAGTGCATCATTTACCGCTGGTCGATAATTGAAATTCCGATGTCAGTTGATGGCTATAGTCACTTAGCATTATTTCTGCCTTTTTAGAACGTTTGTTCGATATTCAAAGTTACTTAAGTCTCTACCAATTGCCTTTATGATCAACCTGTTTATTTTTGTGATATGCTGTCTTCCCAAATTGTTACCATAGCAAGGGATACCAAAATTTATCAGTTTCTATTGTGGTGGTGTAGATTATCTGAAGGATGGATGGATTCAGATTGAAGGACCTAAGTTTACTTGGAAAATACAGCCTCTGATTAACCTTTTTAACGATACTGTTTTCGTGATTTTGACGTGTAAATTTGTTGTCGATTGTAAGACCGAGATATTTGTATCAACCCGTAATTTCAATTGTTCTTGTTCAATTACAACTCTGGGATGGTTGGTTTTCTTTAAAAAAAGAAAAGAAATTAATTTTCTTTGTTTTTGAAAGGTTCACTTTTATTTTAGAAAATTTGAATTGCACCGTTTAAAAAACAAACATATTATTTATTCGAAATACTCGTTTTCTTCAAGGTTTATTAATCAAATAATAGCGGAGTCTTCTGCCAACTTAATTAAGCGTGTTGTTTTATATTTACTTGTATGATCGTTAGTATAATATAATATTGTATACAAAACTGGTGACAAAACACACCCTAGAGGACCGCCGGTGTTACAAAGGATTGTGTCAGATTTTGTGTTGTTCAGCTTAATGTTCCATAAGAAGCCGTAATGGACGAAACATAGAACTACATGTACTTTAAAAAAAAGATACTTGAAACAAATTATTCTCCTTATCGTTTTTCTTACTACACAGCAACACCGAAAGTCTTCCTCCCATTATTTGGCGGAGGGCAAATAAGACATCGCAGCTCTATTCTATAACACTTAGCAGGAACGCTTACCTTCTTTCAGTGTTTGGGTTCCACATATCTGAACCTTTGAAGTCTCCAAATTGTGTATCCATGGTTTGCCAACAAGAGTTAGGCTTGGTCGTAGCATTCCTGTTGCCTTCCCACGGGTCTGCTGGCACTGGGGGCTGGTCGTGGAGGAAAAAACAAATCAACAGGTACCGAAATCATTTGAGCCTGATTCCGAGTTAAAAGAAAAACACGATTATAGCATAGTGGGCATTGAGAGTCGGTTCACTTCTTCTAGCGGATTCTTGTTATCTTTCGTGGCAAACTTGTAGCGTAGATTCGGCTACATTGTGTGTGTGTGTATGTGTGTGTGTGTGTGTGTGTGTGTGTGTGTGTGTGTGTGTATCTGCGTGTGTGTGTGTTTGTGTGTGTGTATGTGTTTGCATGTTTGTGTGTGTCTGCGCGCGCGCGCGCCCGTGTGTATGTGTGTGTGTGTGTGTGAGTGTTCGGCTGATAAAAAAACCAATTGATATAAATTATCTCATTCATCAAGGTCACTTATCATCAGAAACATAGCCCCAAAATAATTATTGGTTTCGTGATGTGTGTTAAACGTAGACACCCATTCTCAGCACAGTGCCGATTGTTATTGAGGGAACACTTTGAAGATGAAAAATCACATCACTTCAGGAATTTCCGCAATAGTACAATATTCAAACACGATTCTTTAAACAGGTTCATTCATTTCTTTCCAAATATATGTATTATTTTGTAAACTCTTGCCAAACAGGGAAAAAAAGGGAGGGGGGGGGGGACAAAGAGAGCAGCATAGGCTTTAAAAACAAAACAAAAACCACACCAAAAGACAACGCAAAACAAACCAACCCCACTCCTCCCCCCCCCTCCGTTACAACAACAACAAAAATAATAATGAAAAACAAAAGATCAATCTACAAAATAATGAAACAAGTTTTTGCAGGCCAGTTATCCATCCTGCATTCACAGCTCATGAATCACGTTGTGGTTTTCTGACGTTCCAACCCGCTAGTGACAGGAGCAGACATCAAGCATCTCTCAGTATAATGTTACACTTCTATTCCTGTTTCCAGAAGACTCATTCACCTCTTGGCATTTGAGAAGAGGATTTAAATTTAGTATCAGGGTAAGGCGTAATGTATGAAAGTGGCGTTCACGGCGGCATGGGAAACTTTATTCTTAACAGGAGATTGAAATGAGGAGTGGCTCTGAACAAGGTGAGAAGGGAAGGGGCTAAAACTGATGGAGGTGGATACAAAACCCATCCCCAGCAAATTTCAACAAACATTCCTTCTGTCAGAGTATTGTTACTGAGGCGAGCGCTGCGTACGTAAGAGATGTGAAAATAACATTCAGTCACCACTCACACCCTTGCCTACCTATTCTTCCGACTCCCCCTTCCCTTCCACCCCACCTCCCAGAAAAAAATCAAAACCAACAAAAAATCCAAATAAAAATTAATATACAAACAA